ACAGTCACAGGAGGGGGACAGAGCCACAGTCACAGGAGGGGGGGGAGGGGGGGGGACAGAGCCACAGTCACAGGAGGGGGGACAGAGCCACAGTCACAGGAGGGGGACAGAGCCACAGTCACAGGAGGGGGGGGACAGAGCCACAGTCACAGGAGGGGGGGACAGAGCCACAGTCACAAGAGGGGGACAGAGCCACAGTCACAGGAGGGGGGACAGAGCCACAGTCACAGGAGGGGGGACAGAGCCACAGTCACAGGAGGGGTACAGAACCACAGTCACAGGAGGGGGACAGAACCACAGTCACAGGAGGGGGACAGAGCCACAGTCACAGGAGGAGGGGGACAGAGCCACAGTCACAGGAGGGGGGACAGAGCCACAGTCACAGGAGGGGGGGACAGAGCCACAGTCACAGGAGGGGGGGGGACAGAGCCACAGTCACAGGAGGGGGGGGAGGGGGGGGGACAGAGCCACAGTCACAGGAGGGGGGGGGACAGAGCCACAGTCACAGGAGGAGGGACAGAGCCACAGTCACAGGAGGGGGGACAGAGCCACAGTCACAGGAGGGGGGACAGAGCCACAGTCACAGGAGGGGGGACAGAGCCACAGTCACAGGAGGGGGGACAGAGCCACAGTCACAGGAGGGGGGACAGAGCCACAGTCACAGGAGGGGGGGACAGAGCCACAGTCACAGGAGGGGGGACAGAGCCACAGTCACAGGAGGGGGGGGACAGAGCCACAGTCACAGGAGGGGGGACAGAGCCACAGTCACAGGAGGGGGGACAGAGCCACAGTCACAGGAGGGGGACAGAGCCACAGTCACAGGAGGGGGGACAGAGCCACAGTCACAGGAGGGGGGGGACAGAGCCACAGTCACAGGAGGGGGGGGGAGGGGGGGGACAGAGCCACAGTCACAGGAGGGGGGACAGAGCCACAGTCACAGGAGGGGGACAGAGCCACAGTCACAGGAGGGGGGACAGAGCCACAGTCACAGGAGGGGGGACAGAGCCACAGTCACAGGAGGGGGGACAGAGCCACAGTCACAGGAGGGGGGGGGACAGAGCCACAGTCACAGGATGGGGGGACAGAACCACAGTCACAGGAGGGGGGGGAGGAGGGGGACAGAGCCACAGTCACAGGAGGGGGGGACAGAGCCACAGTCACAGGAGGGGGGACAGAGCCACAGTCACAGGAGGGGGGGGGACAGAGCCACAGTCACAGGAGGGGGGACAGAGCCACAGTCACAGGAGGGGGACAGAGCCACAGTCACAGGAGGGGGACAGAGCCACAGTCACAGGAGGGGGGACAGAGCCACAGTCACAGGAGGAGGGGGAGGGGGGGCAGGGGGAGGACAGACAAGGGGAAGTGTGCCACTCCAGGAAAGGCACAGAGAAGAACCGTGCTGAAAAGTCCAAGTTTCCTTGAGCAAGAAGGGGAGGCTGAGACTCTGGGTTTTACTGACGGGTTAACTTGGTTTTAAGCAGGCTGGCAGAAGCTGTAGGAGCTAGGGGAAAAGCAGAAGATTCTGGGTCCAAAATGGGCTGGGCAGACACAGGTGCAGGAGGTCTGACTCTTCTGTGCTTAAGAGGAGGCCCGGTGCTCGCAGCAAACGCAGGCACAGGAAGGGGTGGGAGTTCTGCCAGGACACAGGAGTTCTACAGGCCTCTCCCCACCCTACACGTGCCGGTGGAGCACAAAGAACAACAAAAACACCTTCATCAAAGACGGACATCTACAGCTGGTCTTGCTCAGGAGCACACAGAACCCTTGTCCTCTGCTTCTCTTCCTTAAGTGTTTAGGACACCCTCTGTAGGACACAATTATGCTGTAATAGTCCAACCTTTGCTTAATTTTTTAACATATCCTATGAATGAACCACAAAAACACGCAACAGCCCTACACAGACGGCACCACTGAGGGTCAGCTACAAGAGGACAATGGCGGAGTCGGCCAGGCACTCTATGACACAGCTACCCTGGTAATTTTGAAAATTCAACTCCAGGAACAGAACAGCTACCACAACTGATCCTACCTCTAGACAGAAGTGCTTCCCGAACTGGACACAGGTGGTTCACACCTGTGATCCTAGTTACTTAGGAAGCTGAGATCTGAGGAGGATCACAGCTCAAAGTCAGCCTGAGACTCTCCTTTTATCTCCAATTAACCACCAGAAAACCAGAAGTGGAGCTGCTTTTCAAAATGGTAAAGCACTAGCCTTGAGCAAGAGTTCAGGGATAGTGCCCAAGCTGCCTAGAGTTCAAGTCTTACAACTGACCCAAAAAAGTGCTGTTCCCATAGGACAGCACCTCTCACCCCTCTGAAGTGTCATGTTTCTCAGGTAACTGTAAAATGAGCCACACTCCCACACGCTCCATTTTTATTAGCATTAGAACCCTTGACTTCGGTGATAAATTGGCTTTACACACGGTAAAAGAAGCTTTCTTTCTCCCTATTCTATATTTCTTTCAAAAAACAAGATTAAAAATTAAAACCTTTTGTTTCATAAATTAAAATAGAAAATAATTGCTACAACAAAACTCATTTTTGTCAGGTGAAGTGGCTGATGCCTAGAATTCTAGTTAGAATTCTACTACTCAGGAGGCTGAGATTTGAGGATCCCAGTTCAAAGCCAGCCCAAGCAAGAAAGTCTGATACTCTTACCTGCAATTAACCACCAAAAAGCTGGAAGTGAAGCTGTGGCTCAAGTGGTTAGAGCACTGGCCTTGAGCAAAAAAAAAAAAACCCCAAGGACGGAGCCCATGCCTCGAGTTCAAGCCTCAGGACTGGCTTTTCACTGGCATTCACACCAGTAAAATCCAGGGAGGTGCTGCGGCACACTAACATCCTACTTCCACACTTTCTTTTAAAACTAACAAATCACAAAACTTTTTCCTTTTTTCTCCCTGCATGCTTCAATAAATAAACTGTACTGAAACTTAGAACTTTTAATACAAGTTAAGAGCAGCCCATGTGTAAGCTGGGCATACTCTAGGTACCCAGGAGGTAAGAGGACTGTGGTCCAATTCAAGATCTTATCTGAAAAGGAAAGAGCTAGGGTCCAAGGCTGGCTCCAGACAAAAACCCAAAGCTTCATCTGAGAAATAACTAGAACAGAGAAGGACTGGGGTTTGGGCCTAAGGGTTGAGTGCCTTATACCAAGCCCAAGATCCCAAACTCGAAATTTCAGTACTTAAAAGTCAATTCTGACATAAAATCACTTATGTAGCCTATTATTTCTCACCTAAAACAGCTCACAATGACTAACCAGGAGCAAATATCAAAAGCATCATTGAAACAATTCTAGAAACCAACAGGTCAGCCAGAAGGGTCTCAAAGGATGCTTGGCCAACCAAATGGCATAAAATCGCCTTCTCCTTAGCCGTCTCCGCTTCCCTCCCAGGCCTCTGGGAAGGCAGAGCACGGCCGCTCTGTGTCAGCGCTGGCTGTGGGGAGGCAGACCACGGCCGCTCTGTGTCAGCACTGGCTGTGGGGAGGCAGACCATGGCCGCTCTGTGTCAGCGCTGGCTGTGGGGAGGCAGACCATGGCCGCTCTGTGTCAGCGCTGGCTGTGGGGAGCAGAGCACTCTGTGTCAGCGCTGGCTGTGGGAAGGCAGACCATGGCCGCTCTGTGTCAGCGCTGGCTGTGGGGAGCAGACCATGGCCGCTCTGTGTCAGCACTGGCTGTGGGGAGGCAGACCATGGCCGCTCTGTGTCAGCGCTGGCTGTGGGGAGCAGACCATGGCCGCTCTGTGTCAGCGCTGGCTGTGGGGAGCAGACCATGGCCGCTCTGTGTCAGCGCTGGCTGTGGGGAGCAGACCATGGCCGCTCTGTGTCAGCGCTGGCTGTGGGGAGCAGACCATGGCCGCTCTGTGTCAGCGCTGGCTGTGGGGTCTGTCTTCTCACTGAGCTTTGTTCTGTCACATGGATAACCGGATAGCCAGAATTTCCTTCTCAGTGTCTTAGACCCAGGAAGGCTCCCTCCCTGTGTGGCGACACTTGAGAGACGAGCAAGACTTGAGGGCTTTGCTCGTTCTTTGTCCTGCCTGCCTGTACCTGTGCGCATGCTCCTCACGTGCACTCAGGCCGCAACAGCACACTCTGCCGGAAGGGCAGTCAGATTCCCAATCTCTGCAACGCTGGCTGGCTTACTGCGCAATGACACAATTACCCAAAGAAGATAAACTTACTACACTATCTCCAATAAACCCATAAAGCTGAAATGTTGATTCAAGTTTGTAATTCTGAAAGGCAAATACAGCTTTTAATAAAAGATAAAAGACATAGGTAGTTTAAGTCCAAAAGCTGGCCTGCATTAAAGTGTACAATGTCACCAACTAACATTCTCTAGAATACACAGAAATCAAAATGTTTTGACCTGAGAATAAATCTATAAACATTATCAACAAGTTTTGGTTGAAAACTTAAGCTTACTATCTGTAGTTGAAGAAAGTGGGTGTATTTCTTCACATTTACACACTCTTGAATTATGATTGACAATGTAATTAGATATTGATCATCTCATCTTGGTGGTGCACTGTGACTCACAAATATTATTAGATATTGATAATGCGATCTGGGGAGAGGCAGTTCAGATTAAATTATAGAAAATTTTCCTAAACAACATTATTACTCTTCTCTTCATTGGTTCTCCACTAGAGGCCCAATATGAACAGTCACTAAGACTCGGAGGGTCTGCCCTGCTTACTTGGTGGAGAGCTGAGAGCTAGCCACATCCCCAGGCCACGGAGTTCTCCACATCCTCTCTACAGGAGGGGTGAGAAGTGAGGCCAGCTGGATCAGCTGAGGAGCTGTGGGTGGATGTCTGCAGCCCCCAGTGACCACTGCCTGGGGGGCCGGGTGGGGAGGGGGGTCCAGGGTCACTGGCCAGTTGGCCACCGCTCATCTCCATCAGCCTTTTGGTGAGTCCCCGTCCCATGAAGCACCTATTACTCAATTATCTGTCCATTCAACTCAATTGCTATAAAGACACGATACACAAGTACCATGGAGTCGTCTCTGGAGTGCTTCTTCTTCCAGGGTAATAATATAAATTTGCTCATCCAGGTCTTCAAGAATCTAAATTTAAAGATAAAACTACTCAATAATGTAACATTATAAAATCCATACTTACTAAAATGCTTAGGCCTTTGGTCTATTTCTTCCGTTTTTTTGTTTTTTTTGAGGGGAGGGGTTGGCGGGGGGCAGTCCTGGGGCTTGGTGCTATTTATCCCTGAGCTTTTAGCTCAAAGCTGATGCCTTACCACTTAAGCCACAGCTCTACTTCCAGTATTTTGGTGATTAATTGGAGATAAGAGTTCTACAGGCTTTCCTACCTGGGCTGTCTTTGAACCACAATCCTCAGATCTCAAGCCTCCTGAGTAGCTAGGATTACAGGCATGAGCTACAAGCACTCAGCTGGTCTATTATTGTATATAATGTATTCATTCAAATAACAAAAACGCCCCCAAAAGTCTCTAAATTCCTTTTTTTACATACTTAATATATTTATGCATTTTAGTATCTAAATATATCAAAACTTCACTGAAAAATAGACATACTTAAATTGGATAGTTTTAGAGTTTAAAGGATTACACTAAGAATTCTGCGAAGTCCCAATGGCAAACAAGAGCATGAATTGAGACCCTAGAGATGGTGTGTGTGTGTGTGTGTGTGTGTGTGTGTGTGTGTGTGTGTGTGTGTGTGTGTGTGTGTGTGTGTGTGTGTGTGTGTGTGTGTGTGCGCGCGCGCGCACACATGCGCATGAGCATCCCCAAGCCACTATTTTAGAACTAGAAGGAATAGGTCAACTAGGCCAACATTTGTTTTTCCATTTATATTTACCAACATAATGTCTAAAACAAGAAATCTATACAGTACATTAGAGGTATGTAGAACATCCCATTTATGTCATCTTCATACACAACATTTTACTACTCCAATATGTCTTTCTTTCATGAGTATCCAAAACTGGTATTATAAAAATTATCCCACACTAGGAAATGATGGGTTTACAGATAAGCCTCTCATCACAGAAACAGAAACAAAAAAAGAAAAAACACAAGAAACCTCACTAGAGCTGGGAAGGTGGCTCAGTGGTAGAGCGCTTGCATGAGGCCCTGGGTTCGATTCCTCAGCACCACACAAGCAGAAAAAAACTGTAAGTGGCACTGTGACTCAAATGGTAGAGTGCTAGCCTTGAGCTGAAGAGCTAAGGGACAGCGCCCAGGCCCAGAGTTCAGCCCCCATGACCAACAAAAAAAAAAAAAAAAGAAAGAAAGAAAGAAAGAAAGAGAGAAAGAAACTTCACTAATCAATCACCAAATAAAGGTACGGTATTATCTACTCTGTCTTCAAAACTGATCAAATCTAAAATGTGTCTAATTCTATTTTTGCCATCATAGCTATTCTTCAGTGAGATTCTACCTTCCTACCTCTAGGGAAAACATCAAAGAAGCCCAGAGCCGACACTAACGTTCTCTATCATCCAAACCCAAACTTCCAGCAAAATAAATCACGTGGGATTGGTAGGCTAAGGACAAGGTCCCTGGGTCTGAGCACCCTATCAGCCCAGATCGCACAGTCCTCATCTGGAAACGTGTGTGAAACAGCTCACTAACTCCAGTTTCTCCACAAGTGTGCATGGTCCCGGCGGCCTACCCCTGAACTAACCACTGAGTAGACAAACCATCACCTCTACCTCAGAAAGCCTAAACAGACAAAAGACTAGTTTGCATGAGTGATGGAATGGAAGGAGGGGGACGCAGGCAGCTAAGCTGCGAAGAGTGATGCGTGTGGGAATGTGTCGTGGGCCCAACGTACCAAGAGCTGACAGGACCAAGGGCAGCGGAGGAGGAAACGTGCGCATTACCCGACTTATCTAACTGTACCCCTCTGAGCATCGCCATTACAGTAACTGTGTGGAAAAGGGGCAACGAATGGGGAGGTGAGCCGGAGGCGCCCGGACGCGCGGTGTCACGCGAGCCCCCCAGCCACGCTCCTCCTCCTGTCCTACCACAGAACTGGAATGGCCTTTTTCAAAGATTTAGGTCTGACATGTAAAAAACTCGTCTTTACATTGCTGTTCAGTGTTTAACGAGATACTTGTTTCCACAGCTGACGAGAGGCCAGTGAGGCACCCGGACGCGTCTCCCCTGCAGCCTACCCTCCATCACCGTCCAGGCCGCGCTCCCCCGCCGCGGCTGACGCGGCTAAGATCCAGAGAATACTGTCCTTGACCTCAAAGCGCAGCAGGAAAGGTAAGGCGAATTCAAAAGACAACTCCAGGATTAAAACAAATGTCAAGCAGAGGCTAAAGTAAAAGGTTACAAAAGGTCAGAGAAACAAAGATGATTTCCAGTGAGGAAAAGTCTTGTCCAGCATTCTTGCTAGGCCAACTTAGCAAGAGGAAGAGAGCCCGGCAAAAGCACAGGTGAGCGGCGGGACCGAGTGGTCCAGGCCCCGGGCTGCAGGTACGCGCCTCCGAGCCGCCCGGCCGCGCACCGCGCAGGCAGCTCCGACTCCCTACACCAGCTCAGCTGGGAATGAGGGAGCATGACGGGCGCGGGATGAACCGCGTCAGACACAGGGCTCACGGCCGTGAACACCTGATCACCCCACGTGCCCACTGCTTCCATGTGTCAGGAACAAGACACCGCACAAGCATGACTAAGACTTTGAGGACACTGTTACTAAGACCACCAGTTGGGGGAAGTTAGGCTAGGGTTCTACGTAGGCTGAGTCTGCAGCTCCTGTGGGGCATCCATCAGCACTTGAAGGTAGTGCTCCCTGTTGCCACTGTCTTCTCCTCATTTACATTAGACATGCAAGGCTGGCGGGAGCAGCAGGAGCAGGCCAGAACATTAACAGAACTTTACACCAAAAACGGAACCGCCAGCAACGGCAGCCTGGCCCGCCGGAGCCCAGCTCACCTCCGAGCCACGCCTTGAGCCCTAGATCTTTCTTTTTTAAGTTGTCATAGATTAAAAGTTCCAACAGAGACCAGCTTTTACAAACAAAAGCAAATCAAAACTAGCATTTCCCTCAATGAGCTCACAACAGAGAGACAGAACTCAACGCCTCCACCTGGAGCAGGGCACACAGGGACCCCAGGGGACGCCCAAGTGGGGTTCCAAGAGGCTACGGGGGCTGAAGCAGGAAGGGGGCCTGAGGAGCCCGAGCACAGCAACCCAGCTGGGGAAGCAGGAAGGGCACTGTGGATGGCAGGGGAGCAGACAGGCACGGGACGGGCCCCATGGAGGGCAGGGCGTGGACGGGCACGGGACGGGCCCCATGGAGGGCAGGGCGTGGACGGGCACGGGACGGGCACGGGACGGGCCCCATGGAGGGCAGGGGCGTGGACGGGCCCCATGGAGGGCAGGGGCATGGACGGGCCCCATGGAGGGCAGGGGCGTGGATGGGCCCCATGGAGGGCAGGGGCGTGGACGGGCACGGGACGGGCCCCATGGAGGGCAGGGGCGTGGACGGGCACAGGACGGGCCCCATGAAGGGCAGGGGCGTGGACGGGCATGGGACGGGCCCCATGGAGGGCAGGGGCGTGGACGGGCATGGGACGGGCCCCATGGAGGGCAGGGGCATGGATGGGCACGGGACGGGCCCCATGGAGGGCAGGGGCGTGGACGGGCACGGGACGGGCCCCATGGAGGGCAGGGGCGTGGACGGGCACGGGACGGGCCCCATGGAGGGCAGGGGCGTGGACGGGCACGGGATGGGCCCCATGGAGGGCAGGGGCGTGGACAGGCACAGGACGGGCATGGGACTGGCCCCATGGAGGGCAGGGGCGTGGACGGGCACAGGACAGGCATGGGACAGGCCCCATGGAGGGCAGGGGCGTGGACGGGCACAGGACGGGCATGGGACGGGCCCCATGGAGGGCAGGGGCGTGGACGGGCACGGGACGGGCATGGGACGGGCCCCATGGAGGGCAGGGGCGTGGACGGGCACGGGACCGGCGGCAGAAACCCACATTAACTAAGTGGCGTAGGTGTGAACTTGCTGGCAGTGAAACCCACAAAAATAATTTAAATGGCTCACTCCTTAGTTGTAACTGAAGTATCATTTTTACATGGCTCACTCCTCAGTTGTAACTGAAACATCATTTTATATTACTGAACACCTGACAAAATAGTTAATGACCAAAGGAATTAGTATTACTACCAACTGAAAACTATTTTAAAAATTGACTCCAGCTAGGCACCAATGGCTCACACATGGAATCCTTGGGAGGCTGCATGGACGGCAGTTCAAAGAAGTCTGTGAGATGCTTATCTCTAATTAACCACCAAAACGCGGAAAGAGAAGCTGTGGCTCAAGTGGTAGAGCACTAAAGCCTTGAGTAAAAAAGTTGAGGGACGATGCCCAGCCCTGAATTCACACCCCAGGCCCAGAAGAAAAAAGAAAGGTAAAAAGAATATGTATGTCTGAGATTAAAGGCAAAGTATAACTCAATGAATCGACATAATACATAAAATTTCAGAAACATAATTGTTAAAAATCAGACCATATGTATGGCCGGTTTGTTTCTGAACTATAATCTTGCTCTCTAAGGCCCATCAGGTGGACCTCAAACCCATGAGTCTCCTGCCATAGCTTCCCCGGTGCTGGAAGACAGGTAGCAACGTAACTACATGATTGACTTTGTGACCTAATCAAATTACTCTTTAACATAGTGCAATGAAGACTATAAACATTTGCATATTTTGTGTTAAAATTTGTGAGTCAAATTTTTATCTAAGTGCCAGAAATTAGTATTTTTAAAAGTAATACCAAATTCAGTTTTCAAAGATAAAAATTATTTTTTAAAAATAGTAAAAGTGGTAGAGCACCTGCCTTGAGCAGAAGCAGCTCAGGGACAGCGCCCAGGCCCTGATTTCAAGCCCGAGGACAAGAAAGAAAGAAAGAAAGAGAGAAAGAGAGAAGAGAGAGAGAAAGAGAGAGAGAAAGAGAGAGAAAAGAGAGAGAGAAAGAGAGAGAGAGAGAAAGCGAGAGAGAGACAGAAAGAGAGAGAGAGAAAGAGAGAGGGAGAGAGGGAGAGGGAGAGGGAGAGGGAGAGGGAGAGAGGGAGAGGGAGAGGGAGAGGGAGAGGGGAGGGAGAGGGGAGGGGAGGGAAGGGAAGGGAGGGAGGGAGGGAGGGAGGGAGGGAGGGAGGGAGGGAGGGAAGAAATAGTTCTTAAATAATAATAATGTAGCCGGCTGGAGCTCAAGGCCGTGGTCCTGGCTGCTGGGAAAGCCAGGACCAGGCTCCGCATCGAGGCCAGCCTTACATAAAGGATTCACAGCCTGTCTCACGTATTTGTGAGACAGACACGTATTTGTGTCTGTCATCCTCGCAGCACGGGAGGCACTGGCTCCACAGCAAGACCCCCAGCTCTAGGCTGGGCAAAGCAGACTGGAGAAAGGCTCGGGTGGTGAGGTGCCTGCAGCATGAGCAGGAGGCCTCGCGCACCACCCCAGCACTGCCAAAATGCACAGCAAAACGTGCTGGTGATACAGTCCATGATAACATAAAAACAACAGTGAAGTTTAATCACTATTATTTACGCAATAAGCCGGCAAAAAGCTGCTCATTCTGTTTCTAAATGGTAACTCACAATATATAGGATGTTTCTAAGTAATTTTATAAACACCTTTATCAAATACACTAATTAATTTCTAAAGAAATACTTACAGTTGGCTTCACCAGCAACTGCCCCATCACGGTGAACATGCGGGACAGACCGACCGGTGTGCACACTGCGGAGAGGAGAGAGAGGATGACCAGCAGGCCAGGACTCCTGGAGGCAGCCTGCCATCACAGAGACTAAATACACTCTAAACACACCCCTGTCTCCCATTCCGTGCTTAGTCGGAGCATTCTTCAACTCAGCAATAAAGTGGCAACAGGGGAGCAGAGGGGCCTTACTACCCCAGTCACGCGGGGGGGGGGGGGGGGGGGGGGGGGGACATTAAATTCCATATCCTAGCGGACTGGAGAAATCAGGAAACGGTGTAAGTATCAACTCCAGCCATGAATCCTTTGGAGCTACTCATAACAACTTACAATCTCTCTGAGTTAAGACGTGACACCTGAAGTAAAACCAAACAGATTTTAAAAGAAAGATCACCAATTCACCACACAGAACTGTTCTGTTTCTGTTTAAAAACATACAATGGGGGAAGGACAAGAAGCTATAATGGAGGAGGGAAAAGAAGAGGAGCACATGTAATCACTGAGTGTGTGTGTGTCTGTGTGTCTGTCTGTGTGTGTGTGTCTGTGTGTCTGTCTGTGTGTGTGTGTCTACAACCCAGTGGGATAAGGCTGTCCTGGGAGAAACTCAAAACTGATTATTTCAGCGGCCTGATTATTTATCCTGCATAGTAACAAAAGCTACAGCCAACTCAGTAATATTGACAATGGTCAAGAAATCTTGGTAGAAAACATCGCATAACTTTTCAGAATACATACTTTCTATCAATAGTAAGTCAGAAAAATACTTACAGAGGAGTAACAAACATCCCATCAATGATATACAGGAATATAAATAGGGTAGGTAGAACTCCCAGAGATCTATGAAAAAATGTAAATGCATTTTAATAAACCTAAAATGTTGCACATTTCAGCCATGTTTTATCTTAATAAACTAGATTTAAACATATAATAAACACTGTAATGGTTAGTGTGTACTAAACTACGAAATTTCTAGATTGTGGGATAAATAGAAAATACTCATTTGTAAAATCTCTTTCAAAGGAGAAGAAAAAAGGCTTCCATAGACTTTGAAGAATAAAACCAATTATTTGACTGAGAAAAATGTGTGCTGTTCCAGCAGTTCTTTGTTGGTTGCAGGGCTTGGACTCAGGGCCTGGGCGCTGTCCCTCAGCTCTTCAACTCAAGGCTAGCGCTCTACCACTTGACCACAGCACCACTTCCAGTTTTTGAGTAGTTAACTGGAGAACAGAGTCTCGTGGGGATGTTTGTGCCCTGGCTGGCTTCCAACTGTGATGCTCAGACCTCGGCCTCCTGAGTAGCTGGGGTTACAGGCGAGCCTGGCTTTGTTTCTTTTCTAAAGTGTACCTAAAGGCTTCACTTAGCCTAGAAGGTTGACTACATGAGGAACTTTCAGGTGCTCCTCGTGTCTGGTGCAGCCCAGACGCCCGTACCGTACAAGGACTCCATGCTGGCCGCGTCCTGGTCGAGGAGCGCCGACGCCACCCACACCATCCCCAGGGTCAGCAGCGCGAGCAGCAGCAGCATGACCAGGGTCTCCAGAACACGGGCTCGGATCCCCTGAAAGACGCAACACACAGACCTTTAAGTTATTGTACTCATGCTTTTGTCTCTATGAAAGCACAAGTAATACTTAGGGAGGGAAAGAAATTTGTGTTCATACTTATTAAATTTATATTATGTTTAGTACATGTCCATTGATGTTTACTGGGAAAAACACTAAATGCTGACAATTGATAATGTTTGGGATTGGGGGGGGAGTTTGGGGGAGGGGTTGGTTTTTGGTGCTGTTCTTGGAGCTTGAACTCAGGGCCTGAGTACTGTCCCTGAGCTTTTTGGCTCAAAGCTAGCACTCTACCACTTGAGTCACGGATCCGCTTCTGGCTTTTTTGGTAATTAACTGGAGATAAAAGTCTCGTCAATTTTTCCACCTGGGCTTTACAATCATCATCCTCAGATCTCAGCCTCCTGAGTAGCTAGCTAGCTAGGAGCCATCAACACTTGACTAGACTGATTTTTCAAAGCATGAAAAATACTATAAAATTTAGATTAAAGCTGAGCACCAGTGGCTCACACACACAAAGCTGGAAGTGGAGCTGTGGCTCAAGTGGTAGAATGCTAGACTTGAGGAAAAACATCAGGGGCAGCACCCAGGCCCTGAGTTCAAACCCCAGGACCAGCACAAAAAAAAATTTTAACTTGGATTAAAGTCTATTATCTATACAGACATTTGACTGAACCATTTTTAACAATCGCCTTTCTAACACTTTCCACAAACAAAGCAGATCCCCAAACTTCTACCTAAGATATGTGGCTACTCTAGCACTGTCGCCCTAATCCTGACCGGGTGCCCCTCCTCCTCTACCCCACCAACCAGGCACAAAGCATCCGAAACCTCAGGGTGGGCTCCAGGCTCAGCTCAGCCTCGAGAGCCCTCTAGTGTGCAGCTGAAGAACTGTTACTGGAATCCAGTAACTCCAGGGACATTCTAGAAATGATACATAATTCCTTTTCTTATTAGAAATTTTATTAATTCTTGAGACTGGAATGTAGCAAGAAATAATCATATGCAGTTTTAAAGTTTAAATTCTGACCTCACTGCAACTTAGAAGCCAGACTTAAAACTGGAAACCCGTTCAACAAGGCAAAAACAAAAACTTCCTTACACTGAAAATTCACCAGATGACATTTTTCTGTACCTAAATTTAAATTTGGGGGGGGGGGGGGGTCCGGTCATGGGGCCTGAACTCTGGGCCTGGGCGCTGTCCCTCAGCTCTTCAGCTCAAGGCTAGCGCTCTACCACTAGAGCCACAGCGCCACTTCCAGCTTTTTTTTTTTTCCTGCTTATGTGGTGCTGAGGAATCGAACCCAGGGCCTCATGCATGCAAGGCAAGCACTCTACCACTGAGCTACCTTCCCAGGCCTAAATTTAAATATTTATACTGATATCTCAGACCTACAACAGCTAACTACAAAAAGAATATAAATATATTCATATTTCTCGATAAATCATGTCATCTTTCATACCACATTTTAAAAGTCTCAGGTAGATTGTAAAGATTCAAAACACTTCAATTTTGCTGAATATTCCCATCTAATATCTGAATTACAGGAATAGAATCATAACACAGTCTTTCAGATTTGATACAGAGAAGAAATAGTCCTACAACCATCAAAAAACTTAGCCCGACATAATGATGTGAGGTCACTTTGGTAGCTTTTCCTCAGTAATATTACAGTCGTGCCATATGCGGCCATAGCTGAAAACACATACTCAAGTGCATTAGCCAGCATGAAGGGACCAGCAGAGGAGCACAGGGAGGCAGAAAGATTAGACTGGAGTCTTAACAAATGAAGTCTAATGGCAAGCAGTGAGATTCAAGTGAGAAGCAAAACAGTCATAAAACACACCATGACCAAAGACTCAACCATCAACTATACTGCGGCTCAGCACTCCATGACCAAATACTCCACAACCAAACACTCCATGAATAAATACTCCAAGAACAAACACTCCATGAATAAATACTCTATGACCAAACATTCCATGAACAAATACTCTATGACCAAACACTCCATGAACAAATATTCCATGACCAAACACTCTATGACCAAATACTCTATGACCAAACACTCCATGACCAAATACTCTATGACCAAACACTTCACGAACAAATACTCTATAACCAAACACACCATGAACAAATATTCTATGACCAAACATTTCATGACCAAACACTCCATGACCAAACACTCCATGAACAAACACTCCATGAACAAATACTCCATGAACAAATACTCTATGACCAAACATGAACAAATACTCTATGACCAAACACTCCATGAACAAACACTCCATGAACAAATACTCTATGACCAAACATGAACAAATACTCCATGAACAAATACTCTATGACCAAACACTGCATGAACAAATACTCCATGAACAAACACTCTATGACCAAACACTCCATGACCAAATACTCTATGATGAAACACTCCATGAATGAATACTCCATGATCAAATACTAAAGAATACTCCATGACAAACATTCTATGACAATACACTCCATGAACAAATATTCTATGACCAAACACTCCATGAACAAATACTCTATGACCAAACACACCATGAACAAATACACTATAACCAAACACTTCATGACCAAACACTCCATGAGCAAATACTCTATGACCAAACACTCCATGAATAAACACTCCATGAAAAAAAACTATAACCAAATGCTCTATGATCAAATACTCTATGTCCAAATATTCTATGACCAAATACTCCAAGAACAAATATTCTATGACCAAATACTCCATGAACAAACACTCTATGACCAAACACTCCATGAACAAATACTCATGACCAAATACTCTACGACGATACACTCCAGGAACAAAAACTCCATGAACAAACACTCTATGACAAATCACTCAGTGAACAAATATTCCATGACCAAACACTCCATGAACAAATACTCATGACCAAACACTCTATGATGATATACTCCATAAAAAATACGCTATGATCAAATACTGTATGACCAAACACTCCATGAACAAATACTCTATGACCAAACACTCCAAGAACAAATATTCTATGACCAAATAATCTACAACTCAACACTCCATGAACAAACACTCTATGACCAAACATCCTATAACCAGAGAGGCATTCTATGACCATACATACTATGATCAAACATGCTTTGACTACTCTATGAAGGCTCTATGACTAAGTACAGCATGATCAAGCACTCTATGACTAAACAAACAACACTATGACCAAACACAGTGACCAAGTAGGTGATGACCAAATACCCTGTGACCAGAGATACACTTACTACTTCGTCTGACAACCTTCAACCTACTAGGGTACCAAAACATGACCACTTTTCTTTTTTTAATTCTTTCGTTATTATAAAGGAGGTGTACAGAGTGGTTACTTTCATAAGCCAAGGAAAGAGTGCATTTCTTTTTGGACAATGTCACCGCTTCCCTCACACTGTCTCAGTTTTTCCCTCCCATCCCCACTCGCAAGTTGTATAGTTTGTTTTCAACATAGTGTCTAGTGAGTACCACTGCTGCTTTTGTTCACCTTTGTCCCTCCATTTCTGTGTCCCTCCTTACTCTCCCAAAGAGAGAGAAACAAACAGGACAAAAAGAAAAGAAATAAGAAACAGCAACGAAGAAAAAAATGCCTCGTTTCCGTTTCCTGGCGTTTGTTTCAGTATCATTTCCTATGTCAGATGCACACGGCCGCCGTGCCTTTGAGCTCCTCTCCTGAGAGTGTCCGTTGATGACCACCTATCAAGGATGACTTTGCCCCTCCTCCTTTCCCTTTCTCTTTCTCACCCAGTCTTTCCATGATACATGAAGAATGCCTAGAAAACAGAACAGAAGAGGGGGGCGTGCAGCGGGGGTGTGGCGCGCTCTCCTAGCTTCTCTGCCAAGCTCTGGCTAGCTTCTAGTAGCCAGGTGGACTCCAAACCTCATAACTCATGTGTTCGAGTCAGGAAGGGTGAGCTACACGGTATAATGGCGTGGTAGTATAACATAAACACCAAACGGCGAGGTTCCTGGGAACCTTTTGAAAAACTATAATAAAACCCCGGGGCAGGCGCAGGCGGCGCTGAGGACAGCGCTGAGGACAGCGCTGAGGACAGCGCTGGGCAGCTGGCGGCGGCTGCGCCTGCCTCTCCTCCACGTGCTTCTCTACAAGCATGAAAACTTTACCAAGGAAGAACCCAGCCAAACACTGGACAGCACCGTGCAGTGAGTCGGCGGGGGTCACTGACCGTGTCCGCTCTCCTCCTCCCCTCTCCTGGTGAGAGGCCGGCATTGGCAAGGAGCCAAACCTGACCAGCAGGGCTTCTTGGTCCTCTTCACCCTCCCACCCCATGCCTAACTGCGGGGTCTGGGACAGGGTCCCCACTCCCTCCTCCCCTGTAAAGAGATTTAGCCTGCTGCTGTGGGCAGACGCTGGGGAAGACACTGCTCCCTCTGGAAAATAGCGTTTTGTTCCCAGGCATAAAGCAGCAGGAAGAGCAAGTACAAGTTCCCAGTCCTGGAGGATACATGCCCTGTGCGTGGGGAAATTCCCACTTTCACAGCACACAGTAACAATCAGCCGCAGCCCACAGAGGGACTGGTAAGAGGCAGACAGGGCCTCAATCTGAGGGTGCCCAGCAAAGGCAGGCGGGTGGGCGGGCAGGGACCCGGCAGACAGTCCCCCCAAACACACCTCCCATCATGGGAAAATATTAACAAGGCAACAAAGAAGATGAAAACAATTAACAAGGCAGAGGTAAAAATTTAATTAAGTAATGACTTATAGGGAATATATATCCATTTCAATTACTCAAAGAAAATTTACAAAAATAGAGCCAAGCACTAGTGGTGCTGAGATCTGAGATTTGCAGTTTAAAGCCAGCAGAAGCAGGGCTGATTATCGTGATTGTCTCTATTCACCAAAAGACCAGAAACAGAGCTATGCTCCAGGGGTAGAGGACCAGCCTTAAAAAGCTAAGGGATGACCACCAGGCCCCTAAGTT